GTAAAAAAAAAATCTAAGATAGCTATTTTGTAGAGTAGAATTTAAGAAAAATTTTAGTAAAAAAATATCTTTTTAATATTTAGTAGTAAATATTCTGTAGCGTTTTGAAGTTTGTGAAATTTTGAATTTTCATGTATTATTTTACACGGTATTAAACATTGAAATACGTATTGAAAAAAAGGACAGAAGAAAACGCTATCTTTTCAATATACTTTTGAATGAGAGTGATAAATAATAATTGCCTTATCTAATTTATTATCATGGTATTAATGCCAAGTTTGTAATGTATACACACTATCATCATATGTATACACAGTAATCATGAAAAGATAGCGTTTTCTTCTGTCCTTTTCTCAATACGTATTTCAATGTTTAATACCGTAAAATAATACATGAAAATTCAAATTTTCACAAACTTCAAAACGCTACAGAATATTTACTACTGAATATTAATAAGATATTTTTTTACTAAAATTTTTCTTAAATTCTACTCTACAAAATAGCTATCTTAGATTTTTTTTTTACTTTTTATTTAAAATTTAAAAATAATTAATATTTTTAATAAAATGTAAAAAAATTAATTAATGAGATATAGCTATAGACCTAACGTATAACTATTATTTAAAAAAAAAATCAGCTAAAAATATTAACTGGATCAAAAGTTATTTAAGTTGTCAGTGAGTGGTGGGCCACCCTGTATATTCTACAAATATTTTGAGTTAAATATTCTATATTTATTCTAATAAATATATTTTCATAAAATTTATAAGCAAATATTTAAAAAGATATTTTTCAAGCACACTGTAGAAATATTTTTAGTATAATATTCTGTATTTATTCTCTTTAATATATTCTCAAAATATACATAAACAAATATATATAGAAAATTGTTTTGTGAGCACATTATGGAAATATTTCAATAGAATATATTTTTTATTATATTTATGAGATATTGTCACAATATTTGCTTCAAAATATTTCAAAAAGATTTTTTTAAGAATATTTTGACAATATTAATTTGGTTTAAACAATTTCTAGGTAATATCTTCCATATATCTCCCCAACACGATCATACGATAGGTATATGTTAATCTCATGATTTTGTCCCTAAATGGATTTTATGATAAGCATCTTTTGGTCATGCGAGTATCAATTAAAAAAGCTGCAGCGTCGTCATAAATTTAAGAACTTAAACTTTCTATTTCATTTTTAAACATATTTTTCTTTATGACATACTAAAATGAATAATTCATTGCATAAGAAACTATATCGACAGTAGCACGTTTACCTAATTCATTTTTTGAATGAAGTCAATTCTCTAAATTTTTATTTGCCGATATTTAGTACAATTACTTGGCTCAAGCAAAAGCTTACGTAGTCTACCAGTGCTAGTTAAAGATTCGTTTTATTTTAACAATGGAATATCAAAATCCTATTCTAGCTAGTTAACATTCTTTTTCAAAACTCTAGATAGACTCTAATCATTTTTTTTTTTTAACGCACTACAAAATCCTTCTACAATCCCCTAACGCTAATCTAAAACTCCTCTTGCTCTAAAGTTCATTTATCAGTTCATTTAAACTTATGTTCAAAATACGTAATTAATATGTATTGTATTTTTAAAGTTTTTATATTAAACGCAAAACCAAGATTTTTTAAAAACTTTAATAAAAAACGATAATTTTTCACGATATCACGATTGCCTTTATGTAGAAAATAGTAATTTTTCAATTTTGGGCAAATTGGGAGCGATTATAAATAGTGTATTTTAAAATACACATGTATAGACAAAAATTTTAAAAAAATCAAAACTTTCAGATCATCTGAAAGTTTTTAATTTAATATTATAGTTAAAAATATTGTATTTTTGACATATTGCAATTATATAAGTATTATTCGACCTACTAAAAATAGTTATTAAAAATAAAACATACCTGGGTTATTAAAGAGTGTATTCATTTTAATATATAAAATATTGAACAGTTTATAATTTAGTTAAATATATTCTCCAAGTATTAGACAGTCAAACGAGGTTTTACTAGCAAATCACCATACATATCAATATCAACATCGTATATCTGTCATGAATCATAATAATATCTACCAAATTGAACAATGTATCATCTCTAATTAAAGTCAACTGATATCCATAGTTATTTATGCAATATTTGATAAAATTTTATATTTTTGGCCAGCCAAAAGTATTATTCCTCCTTATGTAATTACGCCATTGCGTAATTCTTATATATATTTTACTTACAACTGTTAGGTTGGTTATTACCAATTAGATTGGTATACTTATGGAAATTTAAGTGCAGTAGTTTCCCATTGCCTTCTGCACTGGTAACATGGTACTTTTCGCCACCATCGAAGCGCACGTATGGTCACGCATCCATTAACCTACGGTTGGGTAGTAGGCGCGGTTTAACACTAGAGTTTTGTCAACTAGTGTGACTGCCACACCACACCACGCCAATTTTTAATTACGCTACTGTATTAAAGTTGTCAATTTTCATAATACATCTCTATAGAACAAAATAAAAATTTAAGTTCTAAAATTTTTAAAATTCATAAATAACCCTAATGAAGTATCTTACAGGGAGTATGAAACTAAAAAAACCCCGCACAGTGATGTCGCGGCACAGTGAGGACGTGGCATAGTTGGGTCAGTATAGATTTAATCTGACAGTGATTAAAATCACTATCGTAAGAAACGCTTCGATGTAAATCTGTAGATAGTATTTAATTCTAAAAAATTGGTGGATAATTACAAAAGCAACATCAACTTATATTTCCTTAATTATATCCAGATTAGTAATTCTTTTACTTATATATTGTATAATTTTTATAATTAATTGTTTTCAAATTATTATTGATTTTTAATATGTTAAAAGTAATAATTTTTAACCTACTTTTTTTTGTCCTTTAAAGTAAAAGTTATTACCATAACTTTTAGCTCAATTTGCAAGTTTGAAATTGACATCATTAAACAGAAAAAATGGTATTGTTAAGATTAATATGCAATCAGGAAATTTTTTATTTCATCCATTGTTAAATTCAGGTGAAACTAAAAATTATTTTTTTTTTTTAGATTTATAATTTATATAGCAATATGTTAAGAAAAAATTTAGAATGTTATAGACTGGTAGTAGCACAAACAAATAGAGTAAAAAAATTGTATAAATTTCAAAGTAAAATTATATAATATCAAATCTAATTCGATAATATACTTTAAAAATATTAGAAATTAATGATTTTAATTGTTTATATGGATAAAGCTGGTTAAGCTACTTGTTATTTGATAAAGAGATTTTTTTTTTCAATTTTTGAGGGTAATATCTTCAATTAAATACGAAATGTAATCATTTGACGTATCATTGAAAAGAGTAGATTAAGTGAGAGTTGTCAAAATAAATCGCGGCCTCAAAAAAAAACACAAGTAAAATAATATTAACATGAATAAAAAATTTCTTCTCACGAGGGGAGACTATAGTGATGGGATCCTTGATATTTTTTGAAGTTATTGAATCTTTATGAGATAAAAATTAAATGATTTGAAAAATTTTTTCTAACTCAAAAAAAATGAAAATATTAATTGCCACAGGCGGATGCGAACCTCGTACCTTTAATGTGAAAGACACAAGTGTTACCGTTCGGCAACTGTTCGTCGCTTTCGTCGCATGATAAAATTAGCAATTTAAGCTAAGTCTTTGGTCTCGCTCTATGCTAATCAGTTGGAGAGTACGCGTGTCCAGTATGGCAACAGTCATCCCATACGAAGAAAATGGATGTATCATTAAATGGCATGATAAGATTAATAACAGGATGCTTAAAACCAGCACCTATTGATAAAGTACAAATATTAAGCGGAATAGCGCCGCCTAAAATCAGGCGAGAGATAGCAACTAAAATATAAAGGAAAAAACAAATAAATAATAGTACGGACAATACTATTATTACTAGACAATGTATGGAATAACTTCAGCTCATAGTAGGTTAAAATCAAGGAACTACTTCACGTTAAGGGAAAACCCCATTGCATATCCTTATTTATGAGTAAAATTATATTGACATACTTTTAGCTTCGATGCGAAGCTGAGAAGGTATTAATTTTACTATGATGTGTTACCACTCAACCTCAGCTCTCATTGGACCGATTTTTATGAACAATACGTTAAAGTATTGTCGAAGACATTATCCTCAGAAGTTGAAAAAAAATTACCTTGTTCCCCGTAAATGGGGAAATCACCAAAAAAATTACAATTTTAAAAATCGGTAATTTTCGACATTTTTAAAATTTTTTTTTCTTAATACTGCCATAACTTTTTTAAAAATGAACTTATCAATATAATTATATTTTATAGATACCTTAGGTATTTCACTATCATTTAATATATTTTTGTGAACATTTGTGTCTTTACCTACCCATAGAGAGGATTTCAATATGGGAACTTTTTCATGAAAAATTAACTTTTGAAAATGTTCCGAAAAGACACTTTTATATATATATCTTAAATTAAAACTTAAGTAATATACTTTAATAAAAAAAAAATTGACCTTTGAACTTGTCTTCATGGTGAAAATGACTGCCGTATTCAAAAAACAAAACGGACATCAAAGTTAAAGAAAACTGTACGATTTCCGTGAAAAAATTCTCCATTTTATATTTTATTATATTTTTAAATTTATATTGCTATAACTTTTTGAAAAATGTATGAATCAATATTATTATTTTTTTATAAATAATTTTTATATACTCCTTTCATCTGACACACTTGTTTTTTAAATCGAATTATATCCATTTAAACAAGGGGGTTAAAACTTTAAACATACATTTTGAAACTAGGATATTTTCAATTTAATTTTTGAAAGTGTTCCGGAAATTATTTTTTATATTTTTTAATTATAATTTATTTTTGTGTGAAAATTCTCTATTTCATTTTTTACATTTTAGCTTCGATGCGAAGCGGAGAAGGTATTAATTTTACTATGATGTGTTTTTTTTTTTTTTTTTTTTTTTTTTTTTTTTTTTTTTTT